GGTTTAAGGGTTTAGGGTTTGGAGTTTAGGGTTTAGGGTTTAGGGTTTAGGGCAGCCTTGTTCACCGTTCTCTCGAGGGTCTTCTCACCGGGGGCCGTCACGGTGACGAGGAATTGGACCGCGCGGGGCACGACCTTGCGGGGCGACTGCGGACGTCACACCCTGACCCCTAAACGCTAAACCCTGAACCCCTAAACCCTAAACCCCTAAACCCTAAACACCTAAACCTCTAAACCCTGAACCCCTAAACCCTGAACCGTCAACCCTCGTCCGAAGCCATCAACCCTAAATCCAAGATTGAACTACGATCTCCCCCCACACCCTGACTCAACAAATCAAAAAAGCCTGGGTTTGGGAGACGCTGTTTGGGGCTACAGCCTTGCGGTTTCCTGAGGGTTCAGGGTTTAGGGAGCCCAGAAATATCGAAGAACGGAAGAATCAACGGTTTAGGGTTTAGGGTTTAGGGTTTAGGGACCCCGGCCGCCCCCAACCCACAGGGCCGCCTTCACGCACTTCGCTGGTGCCAAAGCCGCGCTGCACTCTTTGAGGAACTTGTCCTCGTCGCCATGGGCGATGCTGGCGAAGTCGCCGGCGAGGGCCACGTCTTGTGCCGGCTTGGAGGTCCTTGGTTCTTCACGCTTTGGGGATCAGGGTCCCCACAGACTCCAAAACCCCTTAATTAAGGAATATACTGTTAACTATAATAGGAACCCTAATATAATTTAAGGTATATTCCTTAATTAAGGGGTTTTGAAGTCTCTGGGTCTCTAGGCTTCAAAAGGGTTCCTGGCCTTCATAGGCGGACTCTGCGAACCAGCCCCTTTCCAACGCACGGCCGAGTGGCTTGCCGGAGCTGACCCACAGCCAGACCTCCATTAGGGTTCAGGGTTTAAGGTTTAGGGTTTAGGGTTTAGGCTTTAGGGTTTAGGGAACCCGACAGCCTCGGCCCCTTTGGGTGCCCATACTTTGGCCAGGAGACGGACTTGAAGGTCTTGCTGTTGGCGCTGCACGTGCCTTTCCCGGAGGCGAAGTACCTCTGCCGGTTTTGGCAGTCAGGGCCATGCCCCGTGTGCGACAGCAGAGACAGCATGTACATTGCAGCCACGCCACGCTGTCCACCCTCCCCCCAGCTCGGTGTCCGTGGCCTGTCCTGCGATTCCGATGCCGATGGCTGCGTCGGCGTCGTTGCTGTCGTCATTCTGGCAGCCCTGGCTGGCGCAGTTGAGGCAGAAGCCCCAACGAGCCTTGTTGCCATCGTTGCACTCGATGTTGAAGCCTGGCCTGGGCAAAATGGACAATTTATCCCTTGCACGCATTGGTGCCTGCCCGTCGCAGAACCGAGCTGGTATGACTAGGAGTCCTACTCAAGACACAGATGCCTAGCCGCCCCAGGGCCTCCTAGAACAAGCACTGATCTTGACTCTGACCACAGATTCACAGACGTTTCATCACAACCCTGGAGGAGTTCATGCACAAGGTGCAGTACGACGAACGCATTGAACGCTGGCACGTGCAAAGCGAGTCGACGCGAGCTGAGACTACGAAACCAGGAAAACAAGGCAAAAAGGCAGGACCATGCTGGATGATACCACATCATGCAGCAGCTCAGTTTGCAGCACAATGCCTGCATATAAGAACTGTCCCTAATTCATGTAATACCCTCAAGATTGCTTTCCTTCGTGATCCTGGCCTCTGCTGTTGCAAGTACCCCTGTGTCCACTTTGCACATACGCTGCGTGTTTCGGAAACCTAGTGGAAAAAAGAAACCACGGACCACCACATCAAGCCCTTCTCAAGCCTGGTCTAGCCGAAACCCGGCATTCAGCCACCTTGCAAGATACAACCCTTCTAGAGCTCTTTTTGTAACCTTATATGGGTAGTTGTCAAAATTATGGTCCCTTTTGGGGTACCCTAAATAATAGGTGCCGTATTATAATAAGGACCCAAAACGGGACCATAATTTTGACAACCACCCATATGAGCCTTACAGTTGCTTCAAGAGGCCCAACCCCTTAACACCCATCTAGCACCTTGGCAGCCACTGTCACACTTGCCCTTACAAAAACCTTCTACAACTCTAAACCCTCACCTCCAGAACCCTCAGTTATACTAACATATGACCCCTAAACCCCTAAACCTAAACCCTAAACCCTAATAGAGGGGCCAAAAATAATTACCAATACTATTTTGGGGGGCTCCATTTTAGAATTATAGTAGAATGGGCCCCGAAACCCTATTCCTATGTTAAACCCCTAAAACCTCAAACCCCTACTGTAAACCCTAAACCCCTAAACCCTAAACCCCTAAACCCCTAAACCCTAAACCCCCCTAAACCCCCCAAAAAAAAAGCCCACAGAGGGCCGCCTCTGCATCGGGCAGTCCTGGAAACTCCCGGCTGCCGGGCCGAAGGTCGCGAGGATGCCGTCGCGGTCGACGGTGGTATCGCGGATGTAGCCGGATGTGAAGAGCTCCTCGGGGTTTAGGGTTTAGGGTTGAGGGTTAAGGGTTTAGGGTTTAGGGTTTAGGGTTTAGGGCCGTTTAGGGTTTAGGGTTTAGGGTTAGCTCCTCTTTCTTGGGGGTTTTTAGGGTTTCACAATAGGGGCCTTCATGATTAGAATAGGGTTTTGGAGTAGGTTGTACTAGAACTGGCATAAGGAGCCCCCAAAACCGGATTCTGATGGGTTTTTAGGGTTTAGAGGAAGTGAATGAAAACCCGAAACCCTAAACCCTAAACTCTAACCCCCTATGCCCTAAACTCTAAACCCTAAACCCTAAACTCCTCTTGCTGCGGGTTTAGGGTTTAGGGTTTAGGCTCAGGAGCTCCGCCTCAGGGTCGTTCTGGTTTAGGGTTTAGGGTTTAGGGTTTAGGGACCCTAAACCCTAAACCCTAAACCCTAAACCCTAAAGGCTGGTGGGCCTTTCTCGGGTGGGTTTGGGAGTGTCGGGTTTCTGGGGTTGGTGGGTCTGGGGGACTTCATAGGGTTTCGGGTTTAGGGTTTGGGGTTTGGGGTTTGGGGTTTGGGGTTTGGGGTTTAGGGTTTGGGATTTAGGGTTTAGGGTTTAGGGTGTAGGGCTTTTGCCGCTTTTTGGGGGTCCTCTTGGTGGGTTGAAGGCAGCCCATGTTGCAGGGCTGACGCGTTGAAGTTTGTGGGGGGGAGTGCCTTGGGTTCCGGGTTTGCTGTCTTTTGGTGCGGCTAGTGTTTAGGGTTTAGGGTTTAGGGTTTAGGGTTTAGGGTTTAGGGTTTAGGGTTTAGGGTTTAGGGTTTAGTGCTTTACTTGGCTAAGGAGCGACCTGAGTATTTACGGTTTAATGCTGGGCTCCCGGCTTCCTGTTGGGGCATTTTGTGGATTTCGGGCTTCAGGGGTTGGGGCTTAAGGGCTCCAGGGTTTGAGGCTCTGTAGCTGTATAAGGGAGTTTCCAAAAATTAGGGTACCGGATTTTGGGGTCCTTATAGTGAGGGTCCTATTATTTAGGGTACTATATTAGGGTCCCCTATTGTCGGAAACTACCATAAGTTATATAAGGGTTTAGGGCTGCGGGTCTCCGGGGGCTCAACAGTTTGTTTTCTGTTGGGCGTACGGGGTCCGAACAGCGGCTGGGACTCACCAGGCTTAATCAAGTCTTACTTATTTTTGGGGAGTGTTCCATAGGGCTTAAGCGTAGCCGGTGGCGCCTCCTACGGGATGCTCCTAAGAACTGCAGGAAGGCCCCAAACAAATCCGGAGGCAGGAACCGGTCCTTGGCGCTCTTGTACTTCTTCTTGAAAGTGTGCTTCACGCAGTTGGTGTCGACCCTGACGCATCGGAGCTATGCTTTTGGAGTTTAGAGTTAAGGACCATAACGACATGACGACCGGATGACGACGACACTAGCACTAATAATGACTGTGGAACCACCTGTGATCAGTGAGTCTTGCGGCAGACATACGGCCAGTGCCTCTTATCAAGAGCACTCTTGTGACAACAATAGCTATGGTCAACCCAAAACCCAAAAAAAATGAAATAGCAGAATGCGGCAGACAGCAACAGAACCCTAAACCCTAAACCCTAAACCCTAGCTGATAGAAATACCCCCGATGGGAAGAAGGCCCGCCTACCGATGCACATGCGGATGGACTCCACCGGCTTTTCCAGGTAGGCCTTGTATTTCGCATCCTCGGGGCTTCAGCTTCAGGTGGGGGGAGTTTAGGGTTTAGGGTTTAGGGTTTAGGGTTTAGGGTCTAGGGTCTAGGGTTTGGGATTT